GACGTGTCAGCGCGACTACAAGAAAACCCAAGTGTGAGAAGAAATGAGCTAAAACGCTGAAACCAAGCACGAGGAGCTTACTTTAAGCCATAGAGAGCTTTCTTTAATAGACAAACATGCATAGGAAATCGAGGATCAACATACCCAGGAGGTTGTTCCATATGAACACGTTCAATAAGCGTTCCATTGAGAAAAGCATTCTTGACATCAAGTTGTCGAAGAGGCCATTTATTTGTGACTGCAATAGAAAGCACAACACGGACAGTGGTAGCTTTGACAACCGGACTGAAAGTGTCAGTGTAGTCAAGACCAGGAACCTGAGTATAACCTTTGGCAACGAGACGAGCCTTGAAACGCTCGACGGATCCATCGGGCAAATATTTAATACGAAACACCCATTTAGAGCCCACGATGTTGGTGTTGGCAGGGCGAGGAACCAAAGTCCAAGTATCATTTTGTTGTAACGCTCGAATTTCTTCATCCATGGCAGCCACCCAAGCAGGATTCTTAGCCGCAGATTTGAATCCTTTTGGCTCAGTGGATGCAAGAAGAGCAGAGAGAAGTCCAGATGAGCCCAACATACCAAGATTTGCTGGATGACGAGTCTTGAATATACCAGCTTTGGCGCGTGTGATCATAGGATGAGTGCCCAAAGAAGAGAAATCAACAGGAGGTTCAATAGAGGTTGAATTAGAAGTCGAGGGTGACAAAGTGGAACCTGCAAGAGAAGTATCAACCTGCACAGACTCATCTACAAGGTCAGAACAAATATCACACGGGGATGAACTGGATTGAGGAATGTGCGGTGATGAAGTTGTAGGGGGGGATGAATCAATATGATGAAGATGTGGTTCCAAGAAATTTGAAATAGGAATAGTGGAAAGAGGTTGGGCTTGGGAGCTAGGGATAGCAGGAAAGTGAGTTTCATCAAATTGAGCATGGCAGGTGATATATAGCTTAGTGGTGGCGGGATCAAGACAGCGGAACCCTTTATGAACAGGACTATAATCCAAAAAAATACAAGGAATGCTGCGGGGAGAAAGCTTGTTAGGCATATAATCACGCAAATAAGGATAAACACGACAACCAAAGGGATGGAAATTGTCATAATGTGGAGTGTAGCCATAAAGGAGTTCAAAGGGTGACTTACCTCCAAGAAGTGGAGTAGGCAACCGGTTGATAATATAAGCTGCAGTGCTGAAGGCGTCAACCCAAAAACGAGGAGAAAGATGAGAGTGAAAGAGAAGGGCCAAGCCAGTCTCAGTCACATGACGATGTTTTCTCTCAACACGACCATTTTGAGCAGGTGTATATAGACAAGAGAGTTGATGGTGGATGGCAGAATTACGTAAATGAGTTTTGAAACGAGTACTAGTAAATTCGGTACCACCATCGCTTTGAAATCCCTTGATACGAGAAGAATATTGATTTTCCACAAATTTTTGAAATTGAAGAAAAATATCAAAAAAATTAGATTTAAATTTTAAAGGGTAAAACCAAGTGAATCGAGAATAATCATCAATAAAAATAGCATAATAAAGAAAACCCGAATTTGATTTGACGGGAGAAGGACCCCAAAGATCACAATGAATAAGATCTAACACATGAGACGACCTACGTTCATTGCGGGAATAAGGCAATCGATGGCTTTTCGCAAGCTGACAACTAATACATAATGATGGAGAAGGCAATAAAGACGTAAGAGAAAGTTGACCTTTTTTATTTAAAAAAGAAATAACAGAATGATTCACATGACCCAGACGAGCATGCCATAAATCATATGAAGCACGTAAAGATTTGTTTTTAAGGGCTGAAATAAAAGCAGAGTTGCCGCGCTCCAGCACATATAGCCCTCCATCTCTTTTACCGGTTGCCACCACCCTTCCTGTTTGATGATTCTGGATAGTAATAAGATTATTAGTAAATGTAACGGAGAGAGGAAAATCAGACGTTAATTTACTTATGGAAAGAAGATTTTTAGTGAGGTGAGGGACAACCAAGACATCTAATAAGTGAATATTTGGAACAGGAGAAAGAGTACCGATGTGGGTAATGGGTAGGGATGCACCGTTTCCTACAATCACAGAGTCCTTACCCGTGTAATTTTTAGACTGATCCAGAATTGATGGGTCGGCAGTCATATGGGCCGAAGCTCCAGTGTCCAAAAACCAATCAGCAGCATCGGGTCCAGCAATAGAACATGACGTGTTAAAGGCTTCAGCAAGGTGAGCATGAGAAGAATCAGGTCGAACATACCGTTGGTTGCAGCGGTCAGCATAATGGCCCTCTTTGCGGCATATTTGGCAATGAGGTGGTCGACGACCTTGACTTGAGTGGGTTCGTCCTCGATTAGAAGAGTTGTTTTTGTGAGAATAAGAACGACCTCGCTGGTTGGTAAAGGAAGCAGGGTGACTTTCATGGGTGCGACCACGATTAGTGGCTATGAATGCTGTAGGAGTGGAGTCAGAGGACTCAAGGGAGCGCTGGAACAACTCAAAACTTTCAGTTTTAGAGACTAGATCTGCAAAACAGGGGATAGGGGTGAGAGCCATCTGAGCAGTAGAAAAAGCTGAAAAGTCGGTGCCGAGTCCACGAAGGAACCAGTGCACTTTATCAATGCCCTCGACGGGTCTGCCAATGGCATGAAGTTGGTCACAAATTTTTTTGAAGGCACGGGCATACTCAGCAACAGGTTTTGTGCCACGTTTCATCAACTGCAAGTCATCCTTGAGTCTCAGTTCACGAGCTTTTGACTGATGGCTAAACGTAGTTTCCAACGCAAGCCAAACATCACGTGCAGTAGAGAGACCAACGACAACAGCCATGGCTTCCTCAGTGAGAGAGGAGAGCAGGAGACAGAGAAGTCGTTGATCGGCTGCTCTCCATGCCAAATATTTGGGGTTGAATGTTGAGGAGGTTTCTGGTTCAAAGCGAGGTGGTGGAACCATAGTTCCATCGACATAGCCCAACATGTCTTGACTCTCAAGAAGAGGGAGAAGTTGGCTTTTCCAAAGAAGATAATTGGAGGAAGAAAGTTTGATGGTGATCATATGGATTAGAGTATTGAAAGGAAGAAGATGATAACAAGATTCGGAAGCCATAGAGAAGAAAGGATCAGGGTTGTTAAACCGAAAGGGCTCTGATACCATGTGAATGTTTGATTAATCCACCACACCCAAATGGTGTGAGAGTTCTCTTATTTATAATCATTTACAGAATACAGAAATAAGGTAAATTACAAATAATAAGGAAATAGCGATAAAAGGAAAGAATAATAAATGAATACAATATATTTGCATTTAGTAAAAGGGAAAATATGGTAACCCGTAATGTAAGGCAAATATCTAGATATTTGCCTTATAATGAACGGTCAACTATCCTTAACAATTCCTAACATGCTTCTTGTCTTAATATGGAAAACAACGTCACATCAAGGAAGTAACATCATGTACATCATCGTTTTAACATGCATTTTTATCATTATAAACACATCATAATCATCGTAAAATGTCATCATATAACTCATACACATCATCATACATCATAATCATAAAACATAAAGGACATGTGTGGGTGCCACTAGGCATGTGTCGTCATGCATCAAACAATTACCTAGCCTATCCTATAGTAAGGTCACTTGGTTGGCTTTAGCCGGCATTTTCCTACTTTCGAGTTTGCTAAGTTTTCGCTCCTCAAAGTTGCTCTAAATGTCGTCGGAATTCATTTCCTATTAGGTTGTCCAGTTCCTTTCATTAGTATTTCACAATTTTAATTTAAATTCAACTTGAATTTGTGAAGTAGAGCATGGAAATCTACTCCTAAGAGGGTAAAAAAACATAGGGATCGGTATCAGAATTGTCAAACTAAGTCGTTTAAGTCGTTTTTGAGCCGAAGGACTACGCGGAGCCGAGTCGAGCCATGTAGCCGAGGGGTTCTTATTGCTGCAGGTTGACATGTGGTGCAATAGGAAGTTGACGCGTGTGCAGGCTGAGTCGATTCGCAGCGCGGTGCTGGGCAGCTGCAAGTGGGCTTCGGGTAGTTGGGCTTCAACGTGGACGGTTAGGTTTTGGGCTGCAGGCATTGCAGGTTGGATTAGCTTACACGGACACGCGGGTGTTGGGATATGGAGTTGGGCTGTAGACATACAACGGGTCGAGTGACTCTCGTGTTGGTTCGTCACGGTACGGATGCGGTTGTGGGTTGAATTAACCGGTTCGGGTCTGACCCGGTGGATTCGTCTTCAATACTCGATTTCCAGCGTGATTTTTTTATTTCCTTTCTCTCTCCTCTCCGCATCCGTTTTCGACTTCTTTCCTCGTCTACCTCTCTGTTGACCTCTCTGCTTTCCTTCCACAAAGTTTTGGGACTTATAAGATGCCTAAAACGACAACTCATGATGTAACGACCAGGGAAAAAAAAAAGAGAGAAAAAGAAAAAAAAACCCAGTCGCCGACGGACCCCATGCGAAACGACAGCCACACCTCGCTTAGCCCTCAGCCCACGACTCCCAAAATCGATCAGAATACCTGCAACCAGAGAAAAGAACGAAACTACAGGAGAGATTTTGGACAACGTCGGCGAGTTTTCAATCCCTCCGACGAGCCACAAATCACCCTAAAATCGACGCCGAGCGCTTAGTTACCACCACAAGAAGGATCCCTAACGAAAGCACAATAACTCAGGGTACGTTTTGTGCTTGTTCGTAAGCGCTGTCGTCGATAACCGATGTCAGAAAATTGGGTTGTTCTACACGTTCTTAGATCGGTTGAAACTAATAATAGCTAATAATAGAATTTGAATTAGTTACGGAAGAGAAGGAGGAGGTGAATTCAAATTCATCCACAAAATCATCCACAAAAATCTCCACAAAAATCTCAACCAATTCCGAGAATCCCCTATGACTTCCCTCCCCATCACTCAAATCACTCCTCCTCTCAATCTCAATTCAGTTTTCTGTTGTCACCAACAACTGGTATCAGAGCGATCTTGCAGCAGCAAAAATGGCAGCAGAAAAACAAGTTGAGAACTACGTTCAGCCCGCCATCCCGAGGTTCGACGGTCACTATGATCATTGGGCGATGTTGATGGAAAATTTTCTCAGATCAAAGGAGTTCTTTGATATGGTGGAAACAGGTTATGAAGAGCCAAATGAAGGCGAGGTACTCTCAGCTGATCGACAGCAACTGTTGGCAGCATCGAAGTTGAAGGACCTGAAGGTCAAGAACTATTTATTTTAGTCCATTGATAGGACTATCTTGGAAACAATGCTTCAGAAGAAGACATTCAAAGAAATTTGGGACTCTATGAGGAGGAAGTATCAAGGCTCAACGAGAGTAAAACGTGCTCAACTACAGGCAGTTAGGAGAGACTTTGAAATTCTCCAAATGCAAAAGGGAGAAACAGTGAATGATTATATTGGCAAGGTTATAAGTCTTGCAAGTAAAATGAGGATGCATGGTGGTTCAATCACAGATGTTGCGGTCGTAGAAAAGATTTTGCGATCACTAACACCAAAGTTCGATTACATTGTATGTTCTATCGAAGAAGCAAACAATGTCGAGGAAATGCAAATAGATGAACTCCAAAGCTCCTTGTTAGTACATGAGCAGAGGCTCAATCGTACAAGTGCAATAGAGGAGATGACAGTCTTAAAGATATCCACACCAAGTGAAATTTCAAGCTCTAGAGGTAGAGGGCAAAGAAGAGGCAGAGGTCGTGAGAGAGGCAGTCGAGAAAGAAGTGGAGATGTTGGCAGGTCAGCAGACCTAGTCAGAAACGATTATGACAACAAAGGCAAGAGACACTTTGACAAGTCTAAGGTGGAATGTTACAGATGTGGACGCCTTGGACATTACAAAAATGAATGCTATACCAGGCTCCAAAAGGAGAAAAGAAATCAATCCAATTTTGTGGAGAGAAGAGAAGAAGAAACATTATTAATGTCATTCCATGCTATGAAGGTTGCAGATCAAGGTGTATGGGTCGTAGACTCTGGATGCAACAATCATATGACAGGTTGTAAGGAATTCTTCTCAACTTTGATGAAAATTTTCATACTACGGTCTCTCTTGGCAACAATTCATCTCTCCAAGTGATGGGGAAAGGAACCGTAGATATCAAGACTAGAAATGACTTTGTAGAGTCTATTTCTAATGTATTCTACATTTCTGATCTGAAGGCCAACTTACTTAGTATCGGTCAGTTACAAGAAAAGGGGTATGTGATCACATTCCAAAATGATGAATGTGAAATTTATGACTCCAAAAGAGGATCGATTGCTAAGATGAAGATGACCACCAACCGTCTATATCCGTTGACGTTAAATATCGTTGCCAAAAGTTTGATGGTGAAGAAAGAAGATACCACTTGGCTTTGGCATTTTAGGTATGGTCATCTACACTTCAAAGGATTAAAGACGTTGTCCTCAAAGAAGATGGTAACTGGGTTGCCAGATATTACTCCACCAACGGAAATTTGCGAGAGCTGTGTAGTAGCAAAACATGAAAGAAACTCTTTTCCATCTGGAAAATCAAGAAGAGCTCAAGCAATTTTGGAGTTGATTCATTCAGACATATGTGGTCCCATCTCTCCTGCATCAAATGGTAACAAGAAATATTTCATGACCCTCATCGATGATTTTAGTCAAAAAACATGGACTTATTTCTTGCACGCCAAATCAGAAGCCTTTGACTGCTTCAAAAAATTTTGTGCTACTATGAAAACCAAAACTGGAAGAAGAGTCAAGGTTTTAAGAAATGACAGAGGTGGAGAATTCTGCTCGAAAGAGTTTATTCAATTTTGTGAAGAGAAGGGCATACGGAGGCAACTAACAACAGCATATACACAACAACAAAATGGTGTGGCCGAAAGGAAAAACAGGATCATTCTGAACATGGTTCGAAGTTTACTAAATAAAGGAGAAGTCCCGAAGGAATTCTGGCCAGAAGCTGTTGTGTGGTCCGTTCACATTCTCAATCGGAGCCCTACCTTTTCTGTTAGAGATATGACTCCACAAGAAGCATGGAGCGGAAGAAAACCTGCAGTAGACCACTTTAGAATCTTTGGGTGCATAGCATATGCACACGTTCCTGATGAGAAAAGGAAGAAACTTGAGGACAAGAGTTCGAAGTGTGTGTTCCTTGGAGTAAGCGAGACCTCTAAGGCATACAAGCTCTACGATCCTTTGACAAAGAAGGTGGTGGTGAATCGTGATGTAGTCTTTGACGAAAATAAGACTTGGACATGGGAAGAAAAGATCACTGTGAATCAGCAGATTTCTGTAGATCTTGAAGAAGAACAAACTGAAGCTCCTATTCAGCCTCACTATGAGCATGGAGAGAGCTCATCACAAGCTCAACAAGAAGAACCAGTAGAAGAAGATCATGATCAAAATCAAAGACATCCAAGAACAAGAAAAAAACCAAACTGGATGATTGATTATGAGATGGATTATGAATCAAGTGATAGTGGTTATTTTGCATTCTTTATGGATAGTGATCCAATTGTCTATGAAGAAGCAGTAAAAGAGAAGAAATGGAAGGAAGCTATGGACAGTGAAATCAAATCCATAGAGAAGAACAAGACTTGGGAGCTCACTGATCTTCCTAGAGGGCAGAAAACAATCGGAGTAAAATGGGTTTTCAAAACCAAGTTGAATGAAAACGGTGAGGTGGATAAGTACAAGGCGCGACTTGTTGCAAAAGAATACAAGCAAAAGTATGGAATTGATTATAAGGAGGTATTTGCACCAGTGGCACGTCAAGACACTATCAGGCTCATAATTTCTATTGCAGCACAGAAATCTTGGCCTATTTATCAACTTGATGTGAAATCAGCCTTCTTACATGGAGAGCTTCAAGAGGAAGTATATGTGGAGCAACCAGAAGGTTTTGTTCAAAAAAGCAAAGAGGAACAAGTATACAAATTGAAGAAAGCTTTGCATGGTTTGAAGCAAGCTCCGAGGGCATGGTACAGTCGCATTGATTCTCATTTTGAAAAGATGGGATTCACTAAATGCCCGTATGAACATACGTTGTATGTGAAAACTGAAAAAGGAGGTAACATTTTCATTATTTGCTTATACGTTGATGATTTAATATTTACTGGCAATAATGAAGAAATGTTTGAATTTTTTAAGAAGAGCATGATGAAGGAATTTGAAATGACAAATCTTGGCTTGATGAGATATTTTCTTGGAGTAGAAGTTACTCAAACTCCCGCAGGTAACTTTATCTGTCAGAAGAAGTATGCTCAAGAATTACTTGAAAGATTTAAATTGGATGAGCGCACATTTGGAACTCCATCAGAATTGGGTTTAAAGTTGCACAAGGACATTGACGGGCGAGAGGTTGATAATAGGTACTTCAAACAAATTGTGGGAAGTTTGATGTACTAACTTCAACAAGACCAGACATCATGTATGCGGTTAGTATGATAAGTCGTTACATGGAGCATCCAACTGAAAAACATCTCAATGCAGCAAGAAGGATACTTCGTTATGTGAGAGGAACCTCTGATTTGGGGGTATTCTACAAAAAAGGAGATGATCCGAAGATAGTTGGCTATACAGATAGCGACTATGCAGGTGATATAGACGATCGTAAAAGTACTTCAGGAAGTATTTTCTTGATGAGTTCAGGAGCTATTTGCTGGTCTTCAAAGAAGCAACCTATTGTAACACTCTCAACGACAGAAGCAGAATTTGTGGCAGCAGCAGCATGCTCGTGCCAAGCAATTTGGTTAAGAAAAATGCTTGAAATTCTTAATCAGAAGCAACCAAGTACGACGGTTATATATTGTGATAATATGTCAACTATTAAGTTGTCTAAAAATCCTGTGTTGCATGGAAGGAGCAAGCACATCGATGTTCGATTTCATTTCTTGCGTGATTTGTGTAAATAAGGCATTCTTGAACTCAACTTTTGCCGAAGTGATGAACAAATCGCAGACCTATTCACAAAGCCCTTGAAACAACCATTGTTCGAGAAGCTCAGAAGAAAGATGGGGATATGCAGAATCCAAGATGTATATCAAGAAGATGAAATGAAGTCCTAAACTGATTTCCGCAGAATTCAGTTTAAGGGAGGGTGTTGAAACTAATAATAGCGAATTTGAATTAGTTACGGAAGAGAAGGAGGAGGTGAATTCAAATTCATCCACAAAATCATCTACAAAAATCTCCACAAAAATCCAAACCAATTCCGAGAATCCCCTATAAAAGGACCTCCCTCCCCATCACTCAAATCACTCCTCCTCTCGATCTCAATTCAGTTTTCTGTTGTCACCAAGAAGATCTGTGGTTTTAGGAACTTTTAGGCCACTAAACTTCGAGGAAGGAAAGAAGACGACAAATAGAGAGGAAAAGGAAGAAAGAGGACCGAAATCGGCAACAGAAACGCTGTGGGAAGGAGAGAGAAAATGCGCCGAAAAATCGGCTGAAGACGGGTAAGGAAGACGAGATCCACAGATCTGGGTCGACCCGAATCCTAAACCTAATAGAGCAGCTCGACTTCTTTCCCCTCGGCCTCTGCCTTCGGCCTAGTCCAACTACAGCGGCCCAAACCTCAATCCAGCCTAGAAACCACGGTTCAGCTGAACCAACCCGAGACTAGACCCACAGTCCAATCGAACTGGCCTGCAACCCATATACTTGCGGCCCAATTCAGTAAACCGAGGCCCAATATCCAGCCCGGCCCAGTAGCCTTCTGCAGAAGTCGACCCAAATCGAAGTGCGACCCGCGCCTCAACCTGACGCACACTGCGCGACGTGGCGTGCTCTGATTCTGTCATGTGGCACACAGCGGCATAGCTAGTCCCTTGGCTCGACTCGGTGCAAACGGCTCGGCGGCTCCCAGCGGCTGTTTGGCTCGACTCCCCTGTTTTCGGCTTGGTTTCCACTGTTTCGACCCTCCCGGATCTGTTTTCGACCCCGATTAAGGTATCCGATGCCATTTTAGAGTCGTATTTCACATTTATTGAATTATTGATAAATTAATTGTGAAATACTAACGAAAGGTGGTGAACGGTGTGATAGGAACCAAACCCCGACAACGTAGGAAGCAGCTCTCAGAGCTTACGTTTAGCTAATTAGGGAATACTTCGGCCAAGGCCAACCAAGTAAGTGGCCTTAATATAGGATAGGCTAAATATTGTTTGATGTATGATGATGTATGAGTATGACGCTATGTTGTGCTGTATGGTAATTGTACGTTATTTATATTTTGATGCATGACGTACATGTTATATTTGATGCACTTAATGGCTTCTATGATGAGTATGATGTATACATGATAATGTTATTAACATGATGATGTTTTCCATGTTGAACATGTCTTACGATGTTGTTTTCCATATTGCATCATGTCGTTAGATCGACATAGAACACAACCTTAAGAGTATGAAAATGATATTAATGTAAATATCCACGAGCACGTGTTACATAGTGTAACCAAGAGATGAGACTAGAGGGTTGTGTCAGAAGAGATGTATAATTGGACTTAGAGGAACCTCATGCATATTGTATGTTCATAAGCATAGGGCTACTTCCCCTAGAGATGATGAGTGCGGACGTGCACCGTATGATAAGTGCGAATGCGTATAGGTGCAAATGCACACAGATGAAGGTGTTCATGAGGCACGTGACACTATGGTGTTCCACTGACCTCCGGACGTCGCTACAGATTAGCTTGAAGGGTCCAAGGGGTGTGCGAGCGCCCTGGGGATTCCTCGCACGTGTGAGTCGTGTGTAGAGAAGTACTACACATCCAATTTGTCCGAGACTGGAAGCCACCCTTAAAGATGATTAGAGATAGGTCCCTAATTCATGATTGCATGTGTTTGCATTAGCATGACCCCTATAGTGGGGTCACTTACTGAGTATTTCTACTCAGGCCGTGTGCCAAATTGTTTTTCAGGTAAAGGCCCGGTGCCCATGCAGGTTGATGGCGGCATCGTGATTAGACACTGTAGCGCATGCATAGGACAGTTGCATATTTAAAATTCCTAGTCTTGGTTAGGATGGGGTGTTTTGCATTTCATTTATTTAAATTATTTAATTTGTAATTGTTTTTATCCTATTTTGAACTCCAGCATGATGTTTGAAATACATAAGTCCGACAGTGTTTTCTAGTGTTTTAACGTATTCTGAAGTTTTAAATTTTTCCACTAATAAAGATGAGCATTTTTAGAGTTATATTATGCATTAGAGATGAGCATGAGACGTTAGTAGGACTCTGAGTATGTGGAAATTTAGGGTCATTACACATGAGATCCTCAAAAACTCAAAACTCATATATGGTTTTCCGATGATTATGAACGTTGAGAAGGTGTGAAACGTACCTTAGATGTGTGTACAAATGTCGACGATCTCTTTCGTGTCCTTTCGTTCATGCTTCGTTTTACAGGTTTGGACTTCGCCGGAATACTTCGTCGAACCTCTCTCTCTTGATCCCTTTCTCTGTATTTTTCTTTCGTGCAAGTCGTCTAGGAGCGTTGACTGGAGCGTGGGTGTTCGTATGGCGATCCGTGGGGTGTGCGTACGTTTCTCCAAAGTCGTTGGAATTCTCAGGCTCCGGCAACGACTTTTATTTCTTTTATTTTTAAACGAAACGTTACGTTATATGCCCATAAAATGAACTTCCATCCTCGAAAGTCTCAAGTTCTTGTATTAACTTGGGGTATTTCTCTCTTATCTCATCCTCCTGCTCCCACGTGGCTTCATCTATATGATGGTTTCGCCTTAGCACCTTGACGAAGGTAATATCCCTGTTGCGTAGGGCTTTTACTTCGCGGGTTAGGATTCTTATGGGCTTTTCTTTATAGCTTAAACCTTCATTAAGCTTAAGGGGCACGTCTTTTACGTGGATAGGATCCATCATGTATTTCCTCAGCATTGATATATGAAATATATTGTGTACCCTTGAGAGGGAAGGCGGTAGGGTTAGTTTATATGCCATGGGACCAATTCGCTCGAGAGTTTCGAAGGGTCCAATGAATCTAGGGCTTAGTTTGCCTTTACACCCCAACCTCAAGACACCCTTCCTTGGTGCCACTTTCAGGATACTAGATCCCCCACTTCAAACTCTAAGCTCCTACGCTTTACATTTGGGTAGCTTTTTTTTTTTTTTTTTGTCTATTTTGAGCGGTATGCATCCTCGCTTTAATTTGCCGAAACCTCATTGGTGACTTGAACCAACTCGGGTCTCATCAGTTCTCTATCACCTACTTCATCCCAGCATAACGAAGATCTACATCGTTTTCCATATAAGGCCTCAGATAGTGTCATCCCAATGGTTGCTTGGAAACTGTTGTATGAAAATTTCATCCGGTGTAATTTGGAATCCCAACTTCCTTTGAAATCTAGTACACAAGGGAGTACAATGTCCTCTAGAATCTAATTTAAACACTCCGTTTGACCATTTGTTTGCGGGTGGAAGGTAGTGTTGAAGTTGAGGCGAATACCCAATGCTTCTTGGAGTCCACGCAAAAATGCTGACATAAAACATGAGTCTCGATCCGACACTATCGACACTAGGACTCCATGCAACCTCACTATCTCTTCCACATACAGCTAAGCCCAATTATTGACTGTATATGTTGCTTTTCCTGGTAGGAAATGTACCAACTTTGTCAATCTGTCGACAATTACCCAGATTATCGTATAACCCTTCAGCGTTTTGGGTAATCCTACTATGAAGTCTATGGCTATATTTTCCCACTTCCACTTCGGCATACTCAAGGATTGTAACATCCCCGCCATCTTTTGTCTAGGAGCTTTTACTTGTTGACATACTAAGCACTTGCTCACAAACTCTGTTACGTCTTTCTTCATACTTCGCCACTAAACGTGCTATTTCAGATCTTGGTACATCTTAGTATCACCTGGATGCATAGAAAATGGCGAGTTATGAGCCTCTGTCAGTATCTCTTTTCTTAACTCCTCTATTGCTAGGACACATAGGCATCCTTAACACATTAGTCTGTCATATGAGGATTTTGAGAATCCGTCCACTAAACCCTCTATTAGCTGACTCATAATCTTATGTAAACTAAGGTCCTCTCATTGGGAATCAGTAACCCTTTGTCTAAGTATGGGCTATACTGTGAGTCGAGCCACTGTTCTGACTCCTTAAGTCATTATAGCTATGTTAGTCCGTTCGAATATTTTTTGTACTCGTATCTCGCTAGTAATGAGGGCCGACGATTGTGTTTTCTTTCGACTTAGGGAATTAGTGTCCACGTTTGCCTTTCCAAGTGGTACTGGATGTCTATATCATATTCCTTCACCAGTTCCAACTACCTTCACTGTTTTATGTTCCGCTCTTTCTGGGTGAATAAATATTTGAAACTCTTGTGGTCAGTGTAAATTTCAGTTTTATCTCCATACAAGTAGTGTGACCAAATTTTTAATGTGAACACTACTACGGCCAACTCTAGATCATGTGTGAGATAGTTCTTCTCGTATTCCTTTAATTGAAGGGATGCATATGCAACAACCTTGCCATGTTGCATCAACACACATCCTAATCTTTTCTTAGAAGCATTGTTGTAGATCATGTACCCTTATGAACTCTCGACTCTCTCAACAAAAAGTGTGGATAAATATATATGGAATGTGTAGAGACAAAGTTTAATATAATTTGATTTTGTTTAGTGCCTAAAAACCGCAACCTAAAAAGTTAAAAAGTTATTCCATTCTTCACACTTACTATCTTTCCTCTCAAATTAAAGACATAGAATGAAAACCTTATCTCCCTTTTTTTTTTAATAATTTATATAAATTAAATTGCCAGGATCTATCATTATTCTTCCAATTTTAGTTTTATTTGTTTCTTTATGACACCACTTGATTCTCATACACCTCAAGAAAGGAGACTCATATTAAAAAAAAAACAATCAAACGAATAGTTATTGAATCGTATAATTAGATTTGATGAATTAGAGATCTTAAACCCGTTTAAAAATGACTTGTCACACCCTATTTGAATCCTATGGGAGGTGACTAAGCATGATTTCTATACCAAAAAGCTAGCCCGAGGTCGAAGTTAACAAAGCCAACTTTTTGGGTTGCGGGCCGAGAAAAGCGAACATGCGACTGTGCCACTAGTTTTTTTTTTTTTTTTTTTTTTTTTTTTTTTTTTTTTTTTTTTTTTTTTTTTTTTTTTTTTTTTTTTTTTTTTTTTTTTTTTTTTTTTTTTTTTT